ACGACCCCCCGAGGTGGAAGCAGGGATCTGGAGGGCAGAGTATTCTGCTGCTGTGTGAACGTGGCCTATGTCAGTTCCACCTGGGTCGGACATCGCACCGCCTTCACCACTGACTTGTGGGCTGTTCACTGCACTTTGGCCCTCCACCCCTTTGGCTGTGGCTAGCTTTGCACTCCCTCAGGCTCCACCTCCGCCCTCAGTCGGTCCAACTCAACCTCTGCCCTCCAGATCCCTGCTTCCACCTCGGGGGGTCGTTGCTGCGGTGACCTAGGTCTTCGGTGTCTCTCCTCTTCATCGGCTCTCCGGCTGAACGGTGGGCTCTTCCCTCCACGTCATCATCTCCTCCGGTTATCCCCATGGTGGCGTCTGTGACTACATCCCCATGGCTCTTCCTCTGCTCAAGGCTACCCTTTGGACTTCACCACCATCAGCACCACCCTGGACTTTTTTGTTTGACCTCCTCCTGGTCGTCTGTCCTCCTCCAGAGTCTCCTCCATTTTCCATCCTTTGGCATGAGGTTGCACCTTTCAGGAGGGGGCGTACTGTCACACATACTCTCTATGTGGACTTTGTTTATGTTTTGCACCGTTTTCCCACCTTAGTTAATCGGTTGTCATGGTTGTTGATTTGACTGTATTATGTTCAGCTGTGTATGCCTCATCATCGTCTCTATTTAAGTTCTTGCCTTTTCAGTTTGTGTATTCTGGCCTCGTCTACACTATGCCTTGCTTTGTGTGAGTTTTGCTCACATATTCCTGTCTGCCTGAGAATCATTCTATTAAATACTTTGATCCTTGTATCTTCGTCTTCATGTGTGTGCGCTTTATGCAACAAAGTTGTGACACATTTTCACAAGATGTACAAAATGCCTAACAGTAGGCATTTCGGATTTTGGATCCTGTGGTTTATGTGTATCAATTTTAGACACTGTGTTCGGTAGTAATGGGTCATTCATAAAAAAAACGAATGACACCAGATAGATTAATTTGCTTATAACTTTGCAATGCTTCAACATATACAACATATTAAATATTATCAAAAGAACACAAATGATACAGACCCTTCATATTTAACAGAATTTAATTTTTTTTGTAGATTACATTTAATAGACTACATTTTCATGAAAACATTTGCAAATGATATGTGAAATGTTATTAAGGCAAAATTACATTAAATTAACAGAATTAAAATAGAGAAAGAAGTTAATTGTTACGGAAGGAGACTCACACAGAGGGTTAGAAAAGTATAACAACGTTTATTTTCAGCAAGGGGAGCGGATGGATAGTGCAGGTGAGAATATGAACTAGGGTAATGGTCCTGAAGGGAGATGAGAAGAGTAACTCCGTATAGGGTCCTCACAGGAGATCGTGGAAGGGAGACCGAGGACTGCACACACCTCAGTTGATGGGTACACGGGGAATCCACGGAGCAGATGACGGGAACGGACTAGGGAACGGAACACAGGAGAACACACTGGAGGAAACACAGGAGGTAAGTATCACAGGCAGGTAAAGTCTTTCTATGTATCTGGTAAGGATATCAGAGAGAGAGAGAGAGAGAGAGAGAGAGAGAGAGAGAGAGAGAGAGAGCGATGTTCGGCCATGCTCCGGGAGTAGATTAGAATGTCATCTATGTAAACGAGGACGGACCTGTGCAGATACTCCTGGAGTACCTCGTGCATAAAATCCTGGAATACGGAGGGGGCGTTTACCAGTCCATACGGCATGACAAGATATTCATAGTGCCCAGTAGGGGTCACAAAGGCGGTCTTCCACTCGTCCCCCTCACGTATACGGATGAGGTTATACGCGCTGCGGAGGTCCAATTTGGTGAAGACGGTGGCTCCGCGGAGGTGTTCCAAGGCCGTTGGAACGAGAGGAAGTGGGTAGCGAAACTTGACGGTGCCCTTATTAAGTGCCCGGTAGTCGATACAGGGCCTCAAACCTCCGTTCTTCTTGGCCATGAAGAAACTGGAAGCAGCAGGGGACATGGAAGGGCGGATGTAACCTTGCTGTAAAGCCTCGATGTACTCCTCCATGGCCTTCTGTTGCGGGAGTGACAAGGGATAAATCCTTCCATGGGGCACTGGCTCACCCGGTATCAGATCAATAGCACAGTCCCATGGCCGGTGCGGAGGTAACTGGGAGGCCTTCTTCGGGCAGCACACGTCACTGAAGGGGGCATGACAGGCTGGAATGTCGACTGACTGTTTCTCGACCGGACATCCAACGGAGGTGGAGCAGAGTGTGAGGGCCTCGGAGTGCAGGGGTGATGGTTGAGGAAGATGAGGAAAACAGTCAGGAAAGCAGGTATTGCCCCACTTCAGGACCTCACCAGTTCTCCAAGAGATGGTAGGGTCGTGTTGCAACAACCAAGGACGCCCCAGGATCACATCAGTGGTGGATTCCTCCAGAACCAGGAGATGGAGTGTCTCTTCATGCAGTTGACCCACTTGTAAGAGTAGCGGACCCATGCTGTGACGTACGTGTCTTCGACTGAGTGGTTTTCCAGTTACCGATTAGACTTGGTAGGTGGTCTTAGTGGTCGTGGTGGGGAGATGAAGTTGGCGGCAGAGATTCCCGGAGATGAAGTTCCCGGCTGAGCCAGAGTCGAGGAGGGCGGGTACCTTGCCGGTAGGTGGTCAGAAGTGCACGCTCATTCCAGCCGCTGGCTGCTGCGAGGGTTCTGAATCTCAGGGCGTAGTCATTTATGGACAGAGACCCCTGACGGAGGTGATATAACTGGTCACAGACAGAGGTATCGCCGATGGGTTTACCAAACACTTCACGGAAATGTGTCATAAAAGTATCAAGGGATTTAGTTACTGTACCAGCTTGGGACCAGATGGTCTCTGCCCATTGCAGCGCTCGCCCTGTCAGCAGCGAGAGGATGAACGCTATCTTGGCACTTTCCGTAGCGTAAAGATGGGGCTGCATCTCCAGTGCGAGTGAACACTGCAGCAGAAATCCGTTGCACTCTTCCGCCGAGCCAGAGAAGGGAAGAGGCGTTGGTGACGGGCGTGACTGGTGGTGTGACAATGGCTGGAGTGAGTATCCGCTTGAAGGCATCCACGATCTCCTGGTACGGGTCAGGTGCACTCATCCTGCTGATCCTTTGTGGTCCGATCTTCTGTTACGGAAGGAGACTCACACAGAGGGTTAGAAAAGTATAACAATGTTTATTGGAAAGGCAGTAAATTTGACAACAGTGGTGAGGGGTTGCATATTGACTATTGAAGGCTTGATGACACTCACCATAGTTCGTGGCGGGCGAATGGGGCATGCCGCGATTACATGCCCTCCAGCTCCACAGTACAAACACAAGCTCTGGCTCAGCCGTCTCTGCCGCTCCCAAGGGGAGAGTCGAGTGCCATCGTGGAAGGGAGACAGAGGACTGCACACACCTCAGTTGATTGGGTACACTGGGAATCCACGGAGCAAATGACGGGAACGGACTAGGGAACGGAACACAGGAGAACACACTGGAGGAAACACAGGAGGTAAGTATCACAGGCAGGTAAAGTCTTTCTATGTATCTGGTAAGGATATCAGAGAGAGAGAGAGTCCACTTCGAATGAAACGAGATCGGACACTGGAGTGAAGTGAGGTGTGTGCTTTTGTATGGGAGCAGAGGGTGATTGATGATCCATGACAGGTGCGTGTGATTAGAATTCAGGTGAAGGTGTTTGCTGTGATTGGGAGGTGATTGAGCCTGGCCAATCTGTGGCAATAATAATGAGTACAACAATATCACAGGGGTATTAACATAATATTATAATAAATTATTTTAGGTGCCAAGTGTAGTGAGAACTTTCCTCTGACTTTTTTTTCTCTTTTTTTCCCCAGAACAAATAAATAATTAGAGTTGTTTTCCTCAGCTGTTTAATTGTAGATCTTACAAATGTGCCTTTTGTCAACTCCAAATACTCCATCAAATCTCTGTTAAATCTCCAATTCCTCTCCCCCATAATGTTGTCTTTTAGTAATAATTAACTTTATTGAACTTTGGAAGGCGGAGAGGCCAAAAGTATTTAAACAGAACACTTGAAATTGACCTTGGCATCACTGTTTGTCCACATTATTATGACAACACGCACAGCAGTCAATGAATTTCCTGTATTTGAAACTATAATTGCATATGTGATGTGATGGTACATTGGTAAATACAAACATCAGATGTAATGTTTATTCATGAAGGATGTCTGGTACAATGCATGTAAGCAAACATCAGACTTTATATTTGTTCATAAGGAATAATTAATCGGTATGTTGTGTGTGATGTCACAATTTGTCATGTCCTTTTTAGTTGTTTAGTTCAAGGTTCTTTCTCAGGTAGAAAATTCTTAATGTACATTGTAACATTGATTAATTTACTCTAGCACAGTATAGATAGTCTATCAGTAAAGTAATGCTTCAATAAACTAGAGAAAGGATTCATATGTGGGTAAATCTAGAGGTAAAACTGTTTAAAACGTATTCAGTGTTCGAACACTGCCAGAATGTGTGTGCTTTGAGAGACGTACACCTCCAAATTCGCTGTCTTAACATGGTAAAAAAATCTGTGTATCATTCTATCATTCGTTTTTTTATTTAATATTGAAAGTAGAAAAATGAGAAAACGGCCCCTTTTTCGTTTTGTTTTTTTTTTCCTCCAAAAAACGAAAAACGAGAATTCAGCTTAAATTTTCGTTTTTCGTTCATGGGTGGAAAAATGAATAAACAGCTTGAATATTTCTACACGTGGGCGGGAATAAAACGCCCCTTTCTGCTGATTGGTCAGCCGAAGATCAAACCATGTCATCATCAGTTCTTCCGCAGTATCATTAGCCGGTTTCCCATCACTAGTGTCTACACATACAAAAGAAAGTTTTCAAAATTGGCACGTTAAACGTTGACAAACAGTGCATGCTGACACGGTCAAATTTCACGCGCTCCGTTTAAAGACTTTTGGCCTCAGCCGCCTTCCACATACGGGGCCTGACGTCATTGACGCGTTCCTGTCGTCGCCGGGTTATGACGTGTTTAGAGCTCGCCATCATAAAGTTGCAGCACATTGCTAAAGACAGACACGAGTGACATGAGCTCTTCAGCGGCATTATTCATGAGGTTATAACGGCCCATGACGCGTATCTGTTGCTCGTATTGTGATTTAGAGCTGCTAGTGATTTAGCGGCGGTGTGTTTGTGTGCGCTAAAGGTGAGTCGACGCGTGCTCAGTACCACACTTAGTGGCACATGACAATATAAACGCTGTTTACATGCAGGGTTTGTTGAGTTCACGTGTCATTTTAATGTATGTCTCATTAAATGTGAGTGTAGGAAGCGCATGGTGACATACATTCATGTACTGTAAAAGTGCTACGCGTAATCGCTTTGTAAACACTCCATATATACACTATAAACATTGTATGAAGTGTTTCTGTACTGTTGTGTTTACTGTACAGACGCTCGCTATTCATGCTATATATGCTGTTAGCAGGTGTTTCTGGTCACGTGGCTCTTTGATTCTTGGTAACCCGAAGTGCAGCACTTCATTCTTGTTCAACTTCTGACGCACAAAACCATGTAATAAGTAACTTATTAATACATTTATTTATTCAGGTTCATCACAGGAATATTAGTGGATTCCCTAGATTTCTTAAACTGAGAACCCCTTCCTCCACTCTGCACTTCATTAATGTCATCAGAAGTCATGTTCCTGAAGGGACGTCCATCATGTTGTTCAGCCCCTAAAACTGCTCATCGAGCCGCAGCAGTGCACAAGAAGCACTGAGGTGTGTGTGTGTGTGTGTGTGTGTGTGTGTGTGTGTGTGAGGGAGTTCCTTAAAATGCATCAGAAATGTAAAACAGACTTCTGAGACCTCTATTTTAGTCAGGCCGATGGCGTCTGTCGGGGATGGCAGCGTGGACTCTAAAGCGGAGCTGAGCGCTCTGCTGGAGCAGTGGGAGAGAGAACAGCAGGGAGGCACAAGTGAACTGCTCAACATACTGACCAAGTGAGAAATGCTGCACTGACCCCACATTAACACTTCCCGTTACCTGACCCCGCATCAGCAGCGCCTGTAGTTACTGTAGACAACCGCCCGTCGACCTTTAACCTGACCTCACATCCACAGTTAGACTGGACAAGACTGCGTTAGAGCTGTTACCATGCCTTAAATGCATCCAGCTGAAGTTCTGCTGTTGCATTCTTGACAGTTTACACAAAACCGTGATAGTTAGGGCTGTCAAGCGATTCACATTTGAAACTGAATTAATTACGCGATGTGCTGATTCATCTAAATAATCACATATCAATTTAGTTTTTCTGATTTGTTCAAACACTATGAATGAGTCACTAAATTATTGACTCGCTTGTTTTGTTTAAAACCATTAATTCATTTGAGTTTGCAAAGTTGAGCAGAACTTACAATATTGAAAATATTGTGTCTATAATTTAACACAATATTAACTTATTGTTATTGAATTATTGTATAAAATCAATATCATATTTGGAATTGTGCAGACTTTTGGGGGAAAAAACAGCACTATTGCTTTTGTGATATTGATATAAATTTAAGACACAAACCCATACAGGGACTTTTTGTACTCCTATCTTAGGTGTTGCACCTCCAAAACTTTTGTTTGAATCAAAATGTATTCAGTGAAGACTATGCAGTGTTATTTTACATTCGATTATTACATTTCTATACAAGAAAACCCTTTAGACCTTCCTGAAAAGCACTGTTTATTTAACTCGTCTTTGTTCTGTTGTATTTATTTTCCACTGTTGCTTGTAACAAGATTGTTAGCGTTGAGCCCGTAGTAGCTGCCAAAAAAAAAAAAGTAATTGTAATACAATTTTTTTTTGGATTTATTTTTCTGCATTAATGAATTATTTCTACACCTGGAGTACCTAATTTCTGTTGTTTCCTAATGATGATTTACACTATATTTTACACATTGCACATTTTAGCACAGAAGCCTAAATGACTTTCTTGACTGTTGTCGTTAGGGCTGCACGATTATGACAAAAATCATAATTGTCGATTATTCCCTTGAAATTGTAATTGCAATTATTAATTATGATTATCACCGTTTATATCGAGTAATGTTTGGAATAGGGTCTGAAGCAACGGCTTACCATATTTTTTTGTGAAAATAAACAAGCTGAAAACACTCTAACTGAAAAACTTGTATTGCTTTTCTATAGTATTAAGCCTCAAAGCTGAACTAGACATTGGTTTTGTTTCTTCTTTAAATAATAATAATAATAAAAGTAAAAATATGCATGGTATTGTAATGTTATACTAAAATAAAATCAATGGAAAAACCCTTAAGATAACCTCTAGAAAGAAAACACACACATCTTAAGCATGCAGAATAATGTGAATCTTTTATTTTTTTTATAATTGCACCTTTGAGTGATCACATAATTGTGGCATCCGTAATTGTAATCACGATTAGAAATTCGATTCATTGCACAGCTCTAGTTGTCATGTGATAAGATTACTGATCTCATGTGCAACTTTTTTTTTTTCAATTATTTTTTTTCTTTATTATTTAAAAAAAGAGCGTAGGCCTGTTTTTTTGTTTGTTTTGGCTGCATCTGTGAGTTAATAAAAATGTAACTGGTTGTGTAAAATAGCTAGATAATATCATATAAAATTTTTGAGGTATCTGCAAATATTGTATTGCTGGGTATGAGAATCGATATCATATCGTGTCCTAATAATCAGTTCAATTCACACCCCTATTTAGTACGGTCAAGTACTAATGAGTAAAGTCTTTGTTACCTATTTTTCCCAGCACAGTAATATTTAAGCAGAAATGAAATGTTCACAGAGATACTGTGCTGAAATAGTTACAAAAAATAGTTGTTCATTAAAGTTAGAGGTCTTTCACACAGAACATATTTTTGTGTTTAAAACATGATGCGCAGGGGAGTGGCTTGGGAAGTTTTATATTTATTTTTTAAGTTACACTTTTTTAAGAACTGCGTGTCATGCGTAAGAATCCATTAAGAACAGAAAATGAGTTTATTTATGAATGCCTCTCAAGTGTTAATGTGGTCATGTCAGTGGTATGTTGATACTTGTTTTGATCCCTGCAGGATTTCGGAGCTTGTTGAAAGGGAGACGGAGGAGTATCACAAGGCTGATCCTGACCCGTTTGATGACCGCCATCCAGGTGATCATGTCTAACACCCTTACACTGGACTCCTCATTACTTTACTGCTGTGTTGTCTCCCGGATATAGATATCATAACTCTGACTTTGTTTTGCTCTGAAGGGCGGGCCGACCCAGAGTGCATGCTGGGACACCTGTTGAAAATCTTGTTCAAGAATGATGACTTTATGAATGCGGTAAGGTGGATGCATAATCACATGATATTTTGACTTGTGACTGAATTCACAGTTACATCATGGATTGAATTGACTACATTCAGTAGCGAGTACCAGCTCCCTGGTTAACACTAGCACATGCTCGCTGCTTACACATTTGATCCATTTTACATTAATATTGTTATTATAAACGTCCAAATGCCTGTCTTCCAGTCTTTGTAACTATACACGTAAAGATTTGGTTATGTCTTAAGTTACCAAATACCGTTTGGGAAAAAAAAAATATTGATATCATACATTAGGTCATGCAGGACTTAAGTAAATAAAAGACAAAATAAAAATAATTGTTATGATCTCCTCATATATATTAAGTAGTATTTGGGTGCTGTGGCTGTATACATCGTGACCATGAAATGAAGTGTCTGTCAACAGAGATTTTTCTGTTTTGTGTATATGTGCGGGAAGCCCCTCTGCAGTCACAAATCTTATCCTTTAAAGGAGCCTAGAAGTGCTTTACTTGAGTGAGTGATTTATATCTGTTTTGTTGTTTGATTAAAATGAATGACGCAGACAGCAGCAGGTATATTAGGCTGCAGTCACTTTAAGATCAATCCCAGATCCAGTTTTTTTTGTTTTCAGTCACTGAAGACATAACCAACTGTGTTTACATGAATACTCACTAAGACTCGAGTACCTCTAGACTCGCCAAGCATCTTTGTGCAAATGTTACCATCAAGTGCAATAAGCCATGAAAGAGAGCGCAGTTCAGTTCTTGAACATTTCTTTATCACCTGTACACGTCAATAACTACACAGTCCTGCCCACTAAAAGCTGCATGGATATATTTAATGGTCTTGATATAAATTAAATTTGATCGATACTTTACTATCGTCATGTGATATATCACCATATTGCCTGGCCCTACAAATATATCTTTGTGGCAGTATATCTACACCACTGTAAGTAAGCGAAGCAGCCCTGTTTGATTTCTAATCTTGAGTATTTGGTTTATTTCTGTGCTTTAATAGCTTGTGAACTCATACGTGATGAGTAGCCGTGAGGTGGCACTGAACACGGCTGCATGCAGACTGCTGTTGAACATCATGCCTGGTCTTGAGACGGCTGTGGTCTTTCAAGAGAAGGTACTTTGAGCCTTGTATTTATTCAGAATCAGATCAGGGGTTATGTAGCCTCACAGCTGCGTGTGTGTGTGTGTGTGTGTCCATGGCAGGAGGGGATTGTGGAGCGATTGTTTAAATGGGCTCAGGAGGCAGAGCAGCCCCTCCGAATCTACGCCACAGGCCTGCTGGCAGGAGCCATGGAGAACCAGGACATCGCCGCCAACTATCGCGAGGAAAACTCTGTACTGGTGAGTCCAGGAGCAATGCACTTGTTTCACAACTTTTAAACGCCATGATATGTGTGCATGAGATATGTAACCGCTCTGAATCTTAACTAAATGAGTGGCATTAACACTTTGTCAAATTATTTTTTTTTATTTAAAGCTGTATGGCATTGTATTTAAGAAATTAAGAGTATAGAGTCAATATAAATGTTTTGTAAGGGCAAAATTAAATAAATTGGATTTGATATGGATTTCTACAGTTTTTGCATTTGATCATTGTAATATATGAAGAAGCACAATGCATATTTATGTTTGCTACCAATGCAACTTCATATTGCATGAGAGGACTGCATGCAGCGACACGAGGGAAGCTAAATTAGCACAGCGATGTAGAAAACTTGTTGCCTGCTCATTCACAAACATTTTAATGCAGAATGATGTCACCGACCTGTCTCAATCAAATTTTCCAGAGATGAGTGCAATAATTAGAAATAAACGTGACCCTGGAGCACAAAACCAGTCATTAGGGTCAATTTTTCGATATTGATATGTATACATCATCTGAAAGCTGGATAAATAAGCTTTCCATTGATGTATGGTTTGTTAGGATAGGACAATATTTGGCTGAGATACAACTATTTGAAAATCTGGAATCTGAGGGAGCAAAAAAATCTAAATATTGAGAAAATCATCTTTAAAGTTGTCCAAATGAAGTTCTTAGCAATGCATATTACTAATCATAAATTAAGTTTTGATTTATTTACGGTAAGAAATTTACAAAATATCATCATGGAACATGATCTTTACTTAATATCCTAATGATTTTTGGCATAAAAGAAAAATCAATAAGTTTGACCCATACAATGTATTTTTGGCTATTGCTACAAATATACCCCACGACTTAAGACTGCTTTTGTGCTCCAGGGTCACATATGATAATGAAACAACAGCCCTGTAGTTAATGATCGCTTGATGGGTGTAAATATAAACATGTTGTTTGTGGACAGAAAACATCCTGCGGTCTTGACTAAGAAACTGTTTTAACTGATGCTTTTAGTGCTATTTAGTGTCCATATAATTGAATGGAAATGTAAAAATCAGTGTTTGTGTCGCAGGTTCCTTTAATGCTGCAGAGACTGAGAGAGCTTCAGGAAAAGGAGGCAGAGAACAGGAAGGACAGTAAGCGTCCAAGCAAGAGTCTCGTTCCTCTGCTGCCCCTGGACGAGGAGGCCGTGGACGGAGAGTTCGCTCCTAACGCTCACACAGAGAAACACGACTCGAGAAAAACCGACTCGGACGCTGAGCTGCAGCCCCTCTCTGCTGCGAGGAGCTTGGGGAGATGTAACACAGGCATGAAGGGCCTGATGAAGCCCGCTGCAGCATTCCCTTTAGAGCTGGACGAAATGGACAGCCCAGGTGAAGGCATGAGGAACTGGAGGAAGAAGGAGAACGGTGGCAAAGTAAAGCAGAAGCTGAACTTCTCGCAGCCAGAGCCGGAGCGCAGCTTCAGTGAGCTCTCCAACAGCAGCTGGACTGAGATGAGCCCGTGGGTGATAGGAAATAACTACCACCTGTGCCCGCTCACACCTGGAATAGAGCAGCGCCTCATCCTCCAGTACCTCAACCCGCTGGGAGAATACCAGGAGGTGATTTCTGTAGCTTCACTTGTAGAGCACTGGCCTAGCAATGCCAAGGTCATAAGTTCCATTCACGGGTAGAGCCCTAAGGTAGATACTGCATGATTAGTGTTGGGATTTTTGCTGCACAAATGCTACACAATAACAAAAGGCAGTTTGACTCTAAATTATATAACTGCCTATATAACTCTTTTACTGTAGATTATGTAACTAAATTAACTGCACATATGGTCTTTTTCATGCGTGATCATAACCGGGCAAAGCCTGACATATGAAATAAGAGTCCAACATTTTTTGAGTGTCGGAGAGTCCAAAAAAAAAAAAAAGTTTGCATATGTTTAAGTATAATTTTTGTCACATCATATATGTATATGGCCAAAAAGTAAAATCAAACTCTAAAAGCTTGTAATTTAAATTAGATCTTAACAGTGTAATAGACTTCTTACATTAAAATGCTTATAAATTTCAGTTGTCAAAACATATAATGTAAAACACTCTCAGAAAAAAAGATACAAAAGCCATCAGTACCTTTTCAAAAGGTACACTTTTGTACCTTATTTACCCCAAAGGGTGCATATTATTAGTGCCTTAAAGTGATAGTTCACCCAAAAATGAAAATTAGCCCATGATTTACTCACCCTCAAGGCATTCTAGGTGTGTATCACTTTCTTCTTTCAGATGAATCCAATTGTAGTAATATATTAAAAATGTCCTTCCAAGCTTTATAATGGCAGTGAATGGGTGTTATTTTTCAATAGTCCAAAAGAAGTCCAATAAAGCGCATCCATCCATCATATAAAGTGCCTCATATGGCTCAGAGGCCTCCTGAAGCGAATCGATGCTTTTTTTTTTTAAAGAAAAAAATCCATATTTAAAACTTTATAAATCATAATCTCTAGCTTCCGCTAACTGTCGTGCGTGCGCTCATTCCGGCGGATGATGTAGGCGTAGCGCAAGGTCTGGTGAGAAGTGACGAATGCAGAAGCAGAGAGGAGAGAGCAAAACAAAAGAAGTTGCCTTAGAAGTAATAAATACTGGAAAAAAAATGGAATGCAAACGTATTTTCCAAACATTAGCTTTATCAAAAACAATAAATAAGCTAGCTGTGAACATAATTTTTCAGCGCAGGAATAAAATCGTGGTGTTTGTTTTATTTGAAACAAATATCTAACCTTTATTTGACCCTCTAACTCTTAACACTTTCTATTCTATTTTAATTCTACTTTATCTATATTTATCTTTTTTTTTTTATTCTTTATTTAAAAAAACAACAAAAAACAAACACTAGCTTTCTATTTCGCTTTGGATAAAAGCTTCTGCTAAATGACTAAATGTAAATGTTTGCATTTGTGGTGAATGGTGCATCTTTCAGGAGAACATTACTTATCCACATCCTGCTCTGCAAAACAACACGCAGTCCCTTCTGTTTTTAAAGAGATAGTTCACCCAAAAAGAAAACTTACTTTCATGTCATTCCAGTTTCTTTGCTCTTCACACCTGTGTGAATGTCCCGTTTTAAAGATGTGTGAGAAGTAATCAATAGCAGAACTGACCTGAATGAGTTTAGTGATGCTGCTGGTCACAGAGGAATCTGTATGTCTGTGTTTGTGTGTGCAGTTGTTGGCTGTTTTCATGCAGCTTGGTGCTCGTGAGCTGCTGATGCACTACATGGACCTGAAACAGACAAACGACGTTCAGCTCACGTTTGAAGCCCTAAAGGTACCTGAAAGATATCACACACACTACAGCTCAAAAGTTTGGACACGCATGATTGAATGTTTCTCAAGATCATGAAAAACCTCATGATTTATGCTTAAAATGAGTTTTGAGAACAATGTGTCTGTGTGTGAATTGCTCTATACAGCTGAAACAGCAGGAGGAGTTTGACTTGAAGTGCTGTAGTAAGCATTTCTGTTGTTTGTGGTTATTTTAAACATGTTTTTGCTGTAAAAATAGCCTTTGGTGCTGACATGATTAGACTTTTTTGTACTTGTTATAAAATGTGAAATATTTACGGTAACACTTTAGATTAGGAAACACTAGTCACTAGTTGCTTATTAACTGCATATTACTAGCATATTGGCTGTTTATTAGTGCTTATAAAGCACATCTTAATGCATGACTATTCTAGATTCCTTAATAGTACCTCAAGCCTAAACATAACTACCTTAATTACTTTATTATGCAAAAACTCTGTTAATAGTGAATGTGTTGCCATATGTTCATACTATAGAATGGTTAGTTTTGTCCTGCTCCACTTTTGATGGCTGTTGTACATTAATTGGAGCAAGATCTTCAGACTTGCACCAAACATATTTAAATCTCTTGATGACGCAGTGATTATTTGAATGATTTGTATCGGACACATGCATATTCACCCATTCTCTCTCTTTTCTCTGTCTTTCAGTATCTTGCGTCTCTCCTCCTTCATAAAAAGTTTGCGGCCGAGTTTGTCTCGCATGGCGGAGTCCCAAAGCTACTGGAGATCCCGCGACCCTCCATGGCTGCCACCGGCGTCTCTCTGTGCCTCTATTACCTGGCATACAACCAGGACGCTATGGAGAGGGTAAGATGCTGTGCTGATACGGTGATCACAGCCAGAGCTCTTCTGTGTCTTACTGTTGTCTGTCTGGTTCCTCCGGCTGTGTCAGGTGTGTATGCTGCCGCATTCGCTGCTGTCGGAGGTGGTGAGCTACACGCTGTGGCTCCTGGAGTGCTCTCATGCCTCCGGCTGCTGCCACGCCACCATGTTCTTCTCCATCTGTTTCTCCTTCAGAGCCGTGCTCGAGCTCTTCGACCATCAGGACGGGCTGCGGCGGCTCATCAACCTGGTATGCACTTCCTTTTTCTTTGCGCAGGAATCATGCTTCACAGAGACTTCAATTAGAAAGACAAAACAACAAGGGTTAAAGAGATCCTGTGACCAAAAATGTTGTCATCATTTACTTGCCCTCATGTCACCAAAAACTGTATTACTTTCTTCAGTGGAACATAAAAAGATAATTTGAAGTAGATCTGTGCAATTAATCGAAATACAGTTTCGATTTCGGCCTCCAACGATTATGAAAATACAATAATCGAGATAAAATTATTATCATGCCCCATTCCGCCCCCTTTCCAGCGGAGCCCAATTTCACATGCAAATCAGTAAAATCATGTAACGTGACTTTTTTCAAAATGGGACGTGCTTGATTTATTAAAGATAATTAGGTTTATTCATGTTTTTAAAAGCTTGAAAGAGCACTTGCGCTGTTCCTCAGGAGGCTTTTCTTTTAGCTTAAGGTGTGCGCCTAAACGGTTAAATACATGCAAAAAGGTGTCAAAATGTGGCACTTGGTGATTATTCATGTAAACCCTCGTCTGTTATGTCTTAAGTGAATGTAAACGTTTGAGAATGAAAATATGCATTATAGTAAGTTGGAATGTGTGCAGCTCTTAAAGTGACAGCAGCCTAATATTCCTGCTGCCGACTGTGTGCTTAATATTAATCAAACAACAAAAGACAGACAGAATCACTCACTGCTCTTGACTGAAGGACTTTTGTAGCTTTAATAAGAAGCCAAGTTTAATTCTTACAGTGAAGACTATGCTGTTTTATTTTACGTTAGATTATTACATTTCTGTAGAAGACTGTTAGCTGAATACTTTAGTCTTGCATAAAAAACTTAAAGCACTGTTTGTTTCATTTTTCTATTGTATTTGTCCTTTTTTTGTTTGTTTTTATTGTATTAGTGACAGTTGAATTATTTTCAGTAATTTGAGGACTTTTTTTTTTGTTTCTTACTAATGAGTTACCCTAGTATTCTGCTGTGGTTTTGAGAATTGTGAAATTTCGCTGGTCTCTAAAATGTAGATGTCATAGCAAACATATTTACAGAAAATACATAATTGAGATATACTGCTATCTGTAAATAAATCACTCTTATAAAGTTTTGGTCATGTGACCCACTCATAATCGTGACTGCAATGTTGACCAAAAATAATAGTGATTATGATTTTTTTACCATAATCGAGCAGCCCTAATTTGAAGAAATGTCTCTGTTTTTGTTTTTCTACATACAATGGAAGTCAATGGGCTCCAATGTTGTTTATCAAGCTCATGAGGGTGAGTAAACGATGACAGAACTTTAATTTATGAGTGGCGTATCCCTTTAAAGAGAAACGGGTGTAGTCCGAGGTGAAGGGCTGTTTGGCCTGGTGCTCATTGATAACTGGAGGATGGTGATCATATGAGGGGAGGTGGGTCCTGTGCTACAAAAGTTCAGATTTCTACTACATAATAAATGTGCACTGCTTAAAACACTAACAAAACACAGCTTAAACGCAGCTGGCCACTAAGCTTCTTTTCACTGGTCAGACTGGTCTAGTTTGATGGATTTAGAGAGGTTTTTAGGCACTTTTCAGCTGGGCGGCCTGGGAAACTCGTTAACCAATAAGCTTGGTCAGACTGGCAGATTAGCTAAGACTAGCAGACCAATTTAAGTTGGTAAAAATGATTGAAAAAAATGTGCATTAAAAAGTACGGTTTACAAAAAATAAAAAAAGGTCTAATAGTCAGTTACTCACCCACATGTCATTCAAACCCTGTTTAATTTTTTTTCTTAAATTAAACAAAAGGAGATCTAATGAAACTGGATGGTCATTTATAGTATGGACTGTTCAAACTGTTGAAAATGACAGCATTCAGTTTGTGCCACAAATAAAAGCTAAAGGGTTTAAAGCATTACAGCAGAAATGTATTATAATTGTGTAGCAATGTTCTAAATTTTGTTAGTACTGTTGCTATGTTTTAACATTTATAATTAATATAATATATAGAATTAATATGAATATATAATTTAACATATATCGAAATTAAAGGCCTATGCTTTTTGTACCTTTGTCCTAAATGGTTTTGAATGTTTAGCTTGTATGAAACTGTTGTTGGAAGGACATCATTTTTAAATCTCTTTTGTAGTTTTGTATGAAGTATGATGTTACCAAAGTATTATGTATGGTTTGGGTTTATTGACACATGCAAGAGTAATAGATGATGTCTATAGATATTGTAAACTGATCAAGACTGGTATCAGGACTGACACACTGATTGGATGCTGTGTTTGCCTGAACTCTGCTGTAGTCTGTATGTTTCGTCAGTGTTTATTACTCTCTGTCCTTCTCACTGGGTGTTTGTGTTTTGTAGATTAGCACTCTGGAGATTTTGAACCCAGAGGACCAGGGTGCACTGTTGAGCGACGATGAAATCTTCTCAAGCAGACAGACTGCAAAACATACCTGCATGGCGCTGCGCAGGTATTTTGAGGCTCACCTGGCCATTAAAGTCGAGCAGGTCAAACAATCGCTGCAGCGTACCGAGGGAGGAGCGCCGATACACCCGCAGCCTTATTACAAGGTACATCTGACTCTACCACTGCCTGATCCGTACTATAACTAGGACCTTCTACCATATCTGCAGGATATTTAAACCCTGGATATGTTGCGTATGGTTTGTTGCCTGAAATGTACTCACGGTCGTGTACTCGCTGTAACATATAGTGTTACTTTTCAATGAATAGAAGGATTTAGGAAAGAGGTTGAACTTAGAAGTCTTGCTAGTTTGTGGCAAGCTAAAAATGAGATGTACTGTATCTGTGAGAGTGCTTGGTTGTAGATGGTGTTGAAATGTGTTTTTTGTTTCTGTGTAAATGTTCGTAGGCTTGCTCTTACACCCATGAGCAGGTGGTAGAAATGGTGGAGTTCCTGATCGAGTTCAGCCCGGTGCGTTTGTACTGGGAGCCTGCCGAGTTCTTCCACAAACTGTCCTGTGTGCAGCTCCTTTTGCAGCTCATTTCTATCGCCTGTGACTGGAGAACATACTACGGCAGGTGAGGATCTCCAGTTGTGCGAGCGACGCGCCACAGCAAGAAAATAGTCTTGCAAAGTTTCTCTGGTGCAAAAAGTAATTTTGTTTGATGTTTTGCTGTAAACATTCAGATGGCAGTCATCTTGGACTTAATTTGGATATTACCTTTGACCTTTAAAACTTTGCAGACCTTTTACATTCACGAACACCTGTGTAACATACTACATTAAAGTGCACAACAAATAGTTATTTCTCCCAAAAGAAAAAAAAAACGATTCTGAACTGCCTAAAAAAAAAAAAAAAAGAGTTGTCAGTAATTCCTATATAGGCTTATTTGAAATTTGCATAATGCCTGCCTATGGTCTTTATTGGCTGCCCATGAACAACGTGTTTGTGATTTTAACCACTTTTTTGTGTAAAACGTTTTGCAATGAAGGGGAAAAAGTACTAAGTACACTTTTTTTTTTTTTGGTAACGTGTGTTTCAGGGCTGACACAGTGAGGTATGCTTTGGATATCTTGAGCATTTTGACAGTCATTCCTAAAACGCAGCTGCTGTTGTCTGAGAACGTCGCTGTGCTGGATGAGAATGGCTCCACCATCTCCACTGTTGGTGAGAATCTGCTGTTCTGGTGATGAGGTCCAAAACACGTGGACATAGGTGCTTCCACCTAAACAGGCCTATCTTCATGCACCATTATGCACTGAAATATATAGCCAGAGTTAGTTTAACCTTAACATGTTAATGATCTCCCTGAATAAGATCGTCTAGTTTATTGGCATTTGAAGTCCCACATTATGCATGAAATCTTTTGGTATATTGATTACATTGTATCTGGCACTTAATTCAACACAAGCTCTCGTAGCTTCTGTCTGTGCCTTAACATGAAGGAACGACTAAGAATGTAATTTAACACATTCGTTCATTCATTTTACCCTGATTAGCAGTTGAATGTGTGCTCCAGTCTGTTCAATTAAATAGCAATGTGAGATGCATGCATAACTTTAAGGTTGTTTGAATCCTCTGCAGATACCTTCTATAAGTGCATGCTTGTGTTCTGCAGGTATGAGCATAGTGCTGGTCGTCGCAGAGGGTGAAGTATTTGTAACTGACGCAGAAATCCAGAAGTCGGCCCTGCAGGTGATCATAAACTGCGTCTGCGCTCCAGACAAATGCGTCTCTAGCATCGGCAAGTTCATCTCGGGCACCCCGCGTCGCCGTCTGCCGCAGACCCACCGCGCCAGCGAGAGCGTCCTGGTCAAGATGTGGAACGTGGTTCAGTCGAACAATGGCATTAAAGTCCTGCTGTCCCTGCTCACCATCAAGATGCCCATCACCGATGCCGATCAGATTCGCGCTCTGGCGTGCAAAGCCCTAGTTGGGTTAGCACGTAGCGCTGCGGTGCGACAGATCATCAGCAAGCTTCCGCTGTTCAGCAGCGGACAGATCCAGCAGCTGATGAAAGAGCCTGTGCTTCAGGACAAGCGCAGCGAGCATGTGCGCTTCTGCAAGTATGCAGCAGAACTCATAGAGCGCGTGTCTGGAAAGCCGCTGCTGATCGGCACAGATGTTTCCCTGGCGCGGCTGCAGCGGGCTAGTGTCGTGGCACAGTCACGCATTTCGTTTCCCGAGAAGGAGCTTCTGTTGCTTATTCGGAATCATCTTTTGTCTAAAGGTCTCACGGACACAGCGACAGCACTGACGAAAGAAGCCGAGCTGCCCATGGGGCTGCATGCTCTGGCTCACGCTAGCGTGCCGCCGTTCACTCCCGTTTCTGTCGCGACGCCTCCTTCTCCCGCCGCTGGCATCCCACGGACTCCTCGGCTCACTAACGGAGTCGCGGCCCGTCTGGGTGGCCACACCCCCCACGTGCTTCCTCTTCACCAGCCCCGCCCCTCCACCTCACAGGCTCTGCCCCCTCCACCGCCTGCAGTCTCCCACCACAGTAATGGCTCTCCGCTCATTGGACGCATCGTGTTCTCGCGGGAGCGGCCGTCACCGTGTGCAGCTGCAGGAGGGAAGAGGCCAAAAGTACTGAGGCAGAAATCAGATCATGGTGCGTTCAGCCAGAGTCCGGCCATGAAAAAGCAGCTGGACAGACATCTGCCCTCTCCTCCTACTCTAGACAGGTGTGCTGCCCTTCAGTCTGACTGGGTTTATACCCATTATGCTATTCTTTTTTTATGCCCATGTCAAGTTATGATGTCTGCATTGTACTGCGAAAGCATGCTGTAACTTTGTGGACTAGAAAGTTCCTCATTGGTGCAAAAAAAAAAAAAAAAAAAAGAGAGGGAGGGAACAAGTTGTTGCAAAAATGACTTGAGTTTATGCAACACATGACTGCCTTTGTTGGTAATCAGAAACTTGAAATATATAGATGTTATAAGTCTTAAACAAAAGGATTCATTAAATGCATTTATAGGATTCTTTAAATGCTTCATCTAATGTGTCTTAGTAAAGAAAAACACAAAATGCTTAAAATGTTCACTGTTCACCCCAAAATAAAAAGTGTTAGTTATTTTCTTTAAAACACACATGAAATTATTTTTAATATTCTCGCATCACTTTGTCCCTCCATTGAAAGTCCACGCAACCAAAAAGTTCATAAAAACATTGTAAAAGTAACCCATATGAATCGCATTGTTTAATCCAGGTCTTCTGAAAAAACAACAAGATCAGTTCATATGAGGAGCAGATTTAATTTAGGCATCAAGTGTGGTAAATGGTTTTCACACGTAAAAATTATAAGTGGAATAAATTGTTTTTCCAAAATGTTTAAAAAAGTTTTTTTTTTTTTTTTTTTTTTTAAACTAACCCGTTTTTTTTTTCTTGTCAGTTTATCATGTTCCTGAACATTGACTCTATCCAGTATAATTTGTTGATCTTGAATGAAAATACGTCTGGAACTGTTAGATGATCAAACACTTGGACAGTGACATGGACAGTCACAGTTAAAGTAGTATAGGCACTACTATTCCAGAACACTAGAAGCAATGTGTAAAATGATCTGACAAACCATGTGTGGTTCCTGGCTTTTGTAGCACTTGCTGCTTTCCATATCCTTCTGAAGTCCTTCTAATGTATCATACATACATGTATCATATGTTGTTGTTTCCAGTATCATAACAGAGTATTTGCGAGAGCAGCACGCCCGCTGCAAGAACCCAGTGACCACATGTCCTCCCTTCAGCCTCTTCACACCGCATCAGTGCCCAGAGCCCAAGCAGAGACGCCAGGCACCCACCAATTTCACTCCTCGCCACACACGCAGGGTCGTCTACCCCAAATACGGTGGGGTTGATGGAGGCTGTTTTGACAGGCATCTCATCTTCAGCAGGTACAGTTACACAGAACTGTGAGTTCAAACATGATATGCTTTGATCAGATGTGAAAATATGAGTTAGTGCCCAGTTGTGACAGTAGCACTAACAAGTCAGCCAAGAACAGAACTGTCCTAGGTGCGTTGTTTGTTAACGAGTTACTAAGTTATTTTTCCCCATCTTGAGTTTCATCGTGCTAATCGAGTGTTGTTTGTGACCATGTGTCCAGGTTTCGGCCCATCTCTGTGTTCAGAGAGGCTGAGGAGGATGAGAGTGGCTTCATGTGTTGTGCGTTCTCAGCGCGAGAGCGTTTCCTGATGTTGGGCACATGCACCGGACAGCTCAAACTCTACAATGTGTTCAGTGGACAGGAGGAAGCCAGCTACAGCTGCCACAGCTCAGCCATCACACACCTGGAGCCCTCCAGAGTAAACGCACACTGAGTCCTTGAACTCTAGAACTTTCTCGGCTCAGGACACTAGTATGGGGGTAGAATTGTTGCATTATTCCAAATAAATAGATTATGATGAGATTTGCAAATAAAAAAAACATTCACAAATACATTTTTATGTCAAAAACACAACTTTGCCCGGCATTCATTTGTGAATCGCGTCCTGGGTATTTGTAGATTGCTGCACGCATTCGTGGATCGCTCGCTGTGAATTTGTGGATTTTGAAACATTTCTAGCTTCAAGATGCTGACAATCCACAAATGCGTGCAGCGATCTACAAATGCCCAGGACGCGATTCACAAATAAATGCCGGGCAAAGTTTTGTTTGTAGGATAAAAAGATATTTGTGAATATATTTTTTATTTGCAAGTCTCATTTTATTTGTGAATTTAATTCATGTTTGTGAAACTCTGAGATTTATTTGTGGATCTCATTCTATTTATTTCGTGAATATGTTTGGTTTTTGTTAATCGCTTTACATTTATTTGTGGATCATAATCTATTTATTTGGAATAATGCAACAATTCTACCCCCATACCCTAATAGAGTAACATGCTTTTAGTTGTGCTTTTACACCTCTTAAAAAGTGCCCTGATTCTGCCAGATATTGCATGTGAATTTCACGATTTTATAGTAGGCCTGTAATTGCAGTCTATAATGGTATGTGGATTCCGGGGTACAGTAAGGCAGAGTTTGATGCATTGAATGCTTTGGCAGTTTAAGTGATTCATGCACATCTGATGGTGGTGTTGTAACTGATTGTGAAGATGTAATTCTATATATTTGAAAGCTGCTCTGACCCACCTCAGCTCCTGTAATTGATGTGCAAATGCATTTATGGTAGATGCTGATGTTTTGTCTCTCTGTGTCAGGACGGTTCCCTGTTGTTGACATCAGCTTCCTGGAGTTATCCCTTATCTGCGCTGTGGGGAATGAAGTCTGTATTCATCATGAAGTGAGTCAGCACGCCTACAAACTTCACTAATTGTTAAAAACTTAAATTATTATTTTTCATTTTTTTGAATGAAACTCCTTTATTTCTAGGCATTCATTCCTGGATGATCATTATGTGGAGTTCAGCAAACTCTCTCAGGACAGAGTCATAGGAACAAAAGAGCACATTGCACATGCAAGTCACCTTTTTAACCATTTGAACACTCGCCTTTCATTGTGTTTCTGTTTTTCATTCGTAAATTAAGACACCGGTTTTAACACGCTGACCCTCTGCATATAAACATGTTAAATAAATAACACGAAGCATGCAATTTTTCTGATACTTTTTTTTGTTAAAATTATTAACATTCTGCATGGTATATGTAACTTTATGACCGCAATATGTGATCAAAATATATTGGGAATCCAGTCTGTGAACGTCTTTTTCATGCATCTTTGTGTATTTCTGCAGATATATGACATTCAGTCTGGACAGAAACTCCTGACCCTCAATAACCCTGACCTAGCTAACAACTACAAGCGCAACTGTGCCACGTTTAACCCCACGGATGACCTGGTCCTGAACGACGGTGTCATGTGGGATGTCCGCACCGCTCAGGCCATCCATAAGTTTGACAAGTTCAACATGAACATCAGCGGCGTTTTCCATCCCAATGGTTTAGAGGTCATCATCAACACGGAGATTGTATCCTTTTCTGCTCAGCGAACCACTGGCTGTGGCTTGTTTTTCTGTGTGTTTTATGATATTGTAGTTTGTTTTCTGATTCTTCTGTTGTTGTTAATGAGGTTTTAGTTAACTAGTGGGTTATTTAATGCTGATTAATGTAGAAAAAGGGTGCTATCGATCTGGAGAAGTGTTACTGGGATACATGGGATGCTTAAAGGGTGAACCTCTTCTTGCTGCATTGTTTCTGAAGCGGTTTGCTTTAACTCGCGCTCCAGTGGGATTTGAGGACGTTTCATCTTCTTCACACAGTGCCAGCGCTAGATCAGTGTAGGATTGTCTTCAACAACAATGGAACTGTCATTTATGGAGGTGAGACGCACACACAGTGCATTCACGTCACTTCCTTTTTATTCTCTCATTTTGTTTATGCTATTATGCTTTACATTAATTTAAATTACATCAATCTACACCCCATGCTCCATAAAGACAAAGCAAAAACTTGTGATAACGGAAAAAAAAAACAAAAAAAAACATTGCATAGTATTCACACCTTTAATTCAGTACTCTGTTGAAGCACCTTTGGCAGCCTCGATTATTTGTGAGCTTCTTTTGCAATCTTGGATTTGGGGATGTTTCTGCCATCGGTCTCTGCAGATCGTCTCAAATCCTTGTCAGGTTGGGTGGGAAAGTCTGTGGACATTTTCAGAACTTTCTAGAGATGTTTGTTTTGGTTCGATCTGGGCTCTGGCTGGGCCACTCAAGGACATTCACGGTCCTCCTGTATCGTCTTGGCTATTTTAGGGTGATTGTTCTGTTGGAAGGTGAACCTTCAGCCCAGTCTGAGAAGTCCATATTAACTTTTCATTAGGAATATCTTTGTAATTTGCTGTGTTCGGCTTCCTTCTGTGATGACCAGTGCCCCAGTCCCTGCCACTAAAAAACACCCCACAACATAATGTATCGCAGTTCTTCACCATTGGATGGGGATGAGCAGTGACCTGTTTCCTCCAGAGATGATGCTTGTTGGTTAAACATTTCTGTCTCTCTATTAGTGGAGGTATTAGATATTGTATTGATGTTCCGGAGTGTGTTGTAGCCATGTTGCAGGCTGATGATGAGGATGATATGATGGAGCAGCAAATGAAGAGTCCATTCGGTTCATCCTTCAGGACCTTTGATGCCACTGATTATAAACCCATCGGTATGACTGTAATTCTATCTTCATTTTCTCTATTCAGCTTTTGTAAAAAGCAAATAAGCAGTTAGATGCTTCCTGTAAGATATGTGACCCTGGAGCACAAAAGCAGTCTTAAGTCGCTGGGGTATATTTGCAGCAATAGCCAAAAATACATTGTATGGGTCCAAATTATAGATTTTTCTTTTATGCCAAAAATCATTAGGATATTAAGTAAAGATCATGTTCCATGAAGATATTTTGTAAATTTCCTACTGTAAATATATTAAAACGTAATTTTTGATTAGTAATATGCATTGCTAAGAACTTCATTTGGAAAACTTTAAAGATGATTTTCTCAATATTTAGATTTTTTTGCACCCTCAGATTCCAGATTTTCAAATAGTTGTATCTCAGCCAAATATTGGCCTATCCTAACAAACCATACATCAATTGAAAGCTTATTTATTCAGCTTTCAGATGATGTATAAATCTCAATTTCCAAAAATTGACCTTTATGACTGGTTTTGTGGTCCAGGGTCACATATGCACTTGTTACTGTTACACAACTGTGAGACACATTTTAAAATGGTTTGATTAGTAGCACGTCACATGCTGTCCAAAGACATCACTTGACCGAAATTGTTTCTGTAAATATGTTTCTAAGCTGATGAAGATCTTGATGGTCTGCTTGCTTTCTCAGCCACCATTGATGTGAAGAGGAACATTTTTGACCTGTGTACAGACACTAAAGACTGCTATCTGGCTGTCATTGAGGTATGCTGTGCTTTTTAAAGTTAATTTAGTTATTTACTGTGTATATATAGTTAGGTAAATATTACCTCAACTCTAGGACATTGTACTTTTAAATTTGAGATTCTTTTTTTCTTGTTAAGTTCAACATCAGTGAACAAAATGATCTTTACAGAGCAAAATTCTATGAAGCTACAATTCTACATATCATTAAACTCTACACCCATGTCGTATTTATCTTGTATGACATCAAAACTCTCTGTGGTGTTATATGTGAATGTGTGTAACAGAATCAGGACTCAATAAATATGGACACTGTGTGTCGGCTGTATGAAGTCGGTCGCCAGAGACTTGCTGAGGAGGAAGAGGATGAGGAGGATCAGGTGAGGCTGATGCAAACAGCATTCATGTTTGCATACATTTATATATACATTTAAGCTCTGTGTGTATGGGGGAAGTTTTGCAACAATGAGCCATTCTGGGTGTTTTTGTGATTGTAGCAGACACCTATCACACGGCTGGCATAATTTACTGAATTATTAACTCATTTATTGTGATATCAAAACTATTTGAACTGTTAGCTGTGGAAGCTTATGACCAGTCAGTTCAGTGTAGCTTAAATAGTTCTAGGACTCATGTTCTGATACATGTAACAAGAGAATATACTGACCTTTGCTACCAATGTTGTTCTTAGTCATGAAAAATAATATATAGGTTTAAAAAAAATAGGGTTCAGGTTTTACAGAAGTGCCAAAGTGGTTACCATCACTTGTCAATAAATGAACAAAAACGTTCAAGTCACATTTATTTATATATTTTTAATATACTTTTATAGAGTGCAGATCAGTTCAAAGCAGCTTCACAGTAATAAATGCTGAACAATTCATCAATTTTGAAACATTCAATTTCAGCTTTAAGGCAGTGGCATTTCAGTACTGATTTATATTAATTAATTAAATCAGTGTAATCAGTTATGAAACAAACAATTCAGCTATAAAGCATCTCTACAGAAGGCAACATTATTCAGCTCAAGTTATACAAAAAAGTGTGCAGTGAAAAAAACAAACTTATGCCAAGTGTTTTTATACTAATGTTCATTTTAGTTTGTGACCATTCTTCACCATTCTTTTGAGAGAATTTAAAATGAAAATTTGCAGTGTCTACCCAAAAAAAAAAAAACCCTTGAGCTATTAAGATCTGACTGAAATGATGGGGACCATGTTAAACATGAATGGCTTGAGCTGTTACTTGTGACACTGGGATTGTTCAGGAGGTTATGTAAAGCAGCAGGTGCTACACAGAGCTAGCCACCGAGTAATGAGTATCTATTCTTCTCTTACGTCAGTGAGGCTGGGCACTGTAAACTTGATCATGAGACGTTTGTTTCATTCAGGAGGAGGATGATCAGGATGAAGAGGACGACGATGACTCGGATGATGACATAGATGACATCGATACAGACCCGCTGCTGGCAGAGCTGGAGAACGAGAATAACAGAGAGGAGGATGGCGAGCAGGACTTCTCTCCGTCTGATGATGAGGAAGTGGCTCGCCTGCTGGACGAAGAGGCAGATGATGATGATGATGATGACGACGATGACGACGATGACGACGACGACGATGAGGATTCTGATGACAATGAGCGAGATGTGGAGCTTGTACTAGACAACAGTGAGTTGTTTGACGACATGCACACATATACATAGAGGAGCTACTCCCTTCTCACTGGAGAAAAGCCATGCAAAGGTTTCATTTTTATATCACAAACATGTGAGCTCAAGATGTGTTAAATGAAAAATAACAAACCATACTGGAGAAACGTTTCATGCTTAGACTTGTTAATGAGATATGTTTGGCATCTTGGAGTGAGAGAAGTGAGAGTTCCCTGCTCCCTACTTCAGGTCATGCTATAGTAAGCAAATGTATTTCAAAATTATAAATTATTATTATTAAGAATTACTAGTGGTGTTATTATTATGTATGCATCAATATGGAATTTAGCACCAGTAACTTATAATACACAGCTGGTTGTGACCTTAATTTAGAAATTATTCAATAAAAACATTTGAACTAGATAAACCAAAAAAATAATAATAAAAATCCAGCAAGTCACTGGAAATCACATTTTCTCAAATGAAGACCTGCTAACACTAATAATATATTCAGTACACGGTGAACTATGACGTAAATATGACATGACCAGTTTGAGTATACAGGATTTAAAGATGCTCTCTCGGGCATGTCCATTAAATGTAATTTATTCAAAGGCTTGTTTAAGTGACATAACTGCATATTTATTGTATACAGATTAGGGCTGTCAAAATGGCTGAAAAACAAAATTTGAATTTTGTACTTAAATATTATAAATATTTGAATTTAAAAGGCATAATTTCAGTTAGGGGGAAAAAAAGCTTTTGGCTTCTCTCCTGAGGCCACAAGAGGGCGCATCGAGCAAAATATTAGTAATGCACGTTTCTTCAAAGCATAATAAAATAACACGACTATCTCTGAAAAAAGTGCATAATGTTTAAAATAATGTTTATAAACCTTATATAACTAAAGTTGCTTAAACAATTAGAAACAAAACAGAATCATGCATGTATGTATAATTTAATACAAAGGACTGAAAAACAATCATAAAGAGTACTTTCTTCATTTAAAAACTTGAGATGCAGTGGGATGGGGAAAAACCGCCATAAAGTCTTGAGACATGTTTTTTAAAAGTTGAACTTGCATTAATTGCAAGTGTCTCTCTTGTGCGAGACGCGAGTGCAATGGTGATAGATGTCCCTCTAGAAAATGTGATAAATATGCGTTCTGTGTGAACGGCTTGGTTTCGGTTTTGATGTAAACAACATCTTCCCCGCATCGATTATCTTTTCCCGCAATATTTGTAATTAACAACGTAGCAGCGCCACATCTAGTGGCTTAAACTGGATAAGCTAACAAAAACATTATAATGCAACGACACTTACATCGTCATCGCATCTCGTGCGCCGCTGATAAAGCTGACTGACGCAAACCTAAAATTCGAATGCAACGTTTTTGCATTCGAATGTGGATTTTTTTATTAAATTCGACGAATATTCGAAATTCGAAAAAAAATTTTTGACAGCCCTAGTTAGTAGTTATTTGACATGAGGACTTAAAATAATTCCATATTTTAAAGGGGGTTAGTCAGTTATTTTATTTCCACCCTAATCTGAAATGTCAGGGTTTTTTCCTCCCTCCATCCACAAAATTCCCAGCCAAATTATACTGTTTTTGGACAAACACCAGGGTCGTGTGGTAATTTAAAAGTAAGAGTTTAAAAGCAGGAATTAATCCAAAACTCGTTTTGGAAATATTTTTTGACCACTGCTAAGTGCTGTACGGTTGCTTTGCATGTTTTATTTTAAATTCGACGAATATTCGGAATTCAAATTTTTTTTTGACAGCCCTAATACAGATAGTATATTATAAGGCTTGCTTTTTATTATTAAACAGGACAGTTAACTCTAGCCCCGCCAGTGTTTTTTGAGAAAAGTTGCCACCAGCGTTTTTGATCATTTTCATGATCAACTCATGGCCCACAGAATATTTTGTTGTATGAATATCTGAACATGCACCAAAGAATGAAAAGAGCTATTTTTGTTGAGCTAAAATATTTGAAAGAGCTAAAATATGTTGATTAAAAAACATATTTTTTAATCAACACTTGAATGTGGATAAGTTTCATAAAAAAAGCAACATTTTGAACAAAAAGCTGAGAAAATTGCTTTTTAGTCAGACTAAGTCTGGATTGGATTCAGAACTCTTTCAGAAGGTGTGTAATAGCGCCCCCTACCATATAATGCGACCGAAAAAATGACATCAATGGCGGGGAAAGAGTTAAAAAGACAGTAAACTAATGGAGAGGTAGAAAGGGAGCTTAAAAAGTAGAAGCAAGTTATAGATGAACTTCCAGGGTTTCTCCGCAACGATTCTCAGTGGCATCAAAATAAAATTGCGGTCACACATACCATTGCTCTGTAAAATTCATGAACTAAATGAAGTCATTCCGATGGGAATTTGTGCGATCATATCGGAAGTTTGTGTGTGAGGGAGAAAAAGTTCCACTGCGCAGAAAAGCTGTCTGGGATGAAACTGAATTCTGTGTGAGCTGCTCTGTATACACCTCAGCGCTAGTGACTATGAACGATGGGCCTGTTTGCATGTGAAATTTCGCTAATGTGACCACACCTTTATCATCCAAACAGAAAAACTTATCGTCGTTGCTGATGGTTAAAAAAGTCACATGTGATGTATTGGTCAATGAGTAGTATTGACAGTTACTGTTGCTGACAGCTGCAGCGTATGCTAAACGCTCAGCGTGTGGGAGTCCTGTGAATGCTGAAAATGTTTAGTTTTGTGGTTTATCTGGCCTGATGAAGCAGCTGAGTACAGTGCTAGCGAGAGAATATTCATTCTTCACTTTTGGCCTCTAGCAGGTGATGACAGACACAGATTCTAATCAATTATGAGAGCAGACTTTGACATTGACAGGTTATACAGTTAAAGCAGCTGTTTGCTATTGGCCATGACTAAATGTTTATGATGTCTTTCCCCGTCATGTCATTTCTTGCATGTTCTTTTTCTTCCTATTCTTTCATTACTGTCAGTTTTTCCCCTGTGCTGTCTGAAATGTTGTTCTCTTATTCCCGTAGCAGACAGCTCTGATAACTCAGACCTGGAAGATGACATTATCCTTTCCCTGAACGAGTGATCCTGCCCAAAACCACGGTGGAAGTGCTCAACCAGGCTTGAAGCTCAGTGAGAAGATCTGAGAGAGAATGTTATAGGATAGCAGCAGCTGATGAGTGTCAGGTTGTGGTGTGGATGGTCTACATGCACACGGACCCGAAAATGACATGTGTGGACTTGCTGGAAAATTGTAAACAAAACATAGTTTTATATAAGGACGTCTCGCCTAAAACCAATGGAACTTGTCCGTTGTTTGTTTTTGCTACAGCGTTGCCCTCTTGGAACATCTGACCATTTTTAAAGAACGTGTACTGATAGATTTCGAGAAGGGTCTTGCGTTCATACATTAGCGTGTTTTGTTGTGTTGGTTGGCCGCTGTCTAGAGGAGTTCTGGGTAGCTCTGATCCACTGGATGCACTGTTTGCATGCGCAGATCTGTATGCATGCCTTTGACCTTTGACCTGCCCACCACTCCTCATGTGATCTCTTGAGTTTGATTAATCTAAACATCTGAAAATCTAGTTGCTTAGACATTTAGTTCATCCATTTTTGCTTTCTGAATAGTAGGTTTGTTAGCCATTGCTTGTTTCATTTTACAAGAAAGCGCTTTTAAGGCCCTTTTTGTCGGCTGACTGATTGGATTGAAGATGTTGCACCACGTTTAATGAGCAATAATTTCCATTGGTTTCTAAATTCACATAAAGGACTAAAGGACTGTGGTACCTCAGATCCGCAGCGGCGTTTGCTTCTCTTTTGGAGGAAGTTAACTGTTGCACCGGTTTGCTTAAACTTCATTTCACATGAAGTTAAACATTTTTAAACATCTGTGTACAGCCTCCATTTACTTTATGGTTTAATTTTTTGTTCATGCCTTTCCAAAAGTAAAGATCTAAGGCAACATTGTGTACAAAATGTATAAAAAATATTTTTACTATAAATGTTATTGCAATAAACCAGAGTAAATTGTTGAATTTTTTGAGAGCCATCCGTCAGATCACAAAGCTGTCACTGTCATCAAACTCTGTTCACCATGCATCTGAAAATCCTACTTTTCAGTTATTACTTTCACTCTCAATTTGACTAAAACCTGTTTGCCTGGATCTCTTGCATTTAATCCACTCAACTTGTTTTAAGGTCCTTTGGACTTTTCTTTTTTTTCTTCTCACCTGTCGTATTAACAAAAGTAGACATAGTCTGCATCACCTGCGATGGGGCGCTCTTTAGCACGAGCAGAAAGTGCTTCTCAAATCTGTCCTGGAGATCTTTGCATAATTTGTCTCCCTCTTCCATTTCACCTGATTCAACTCATCAGTAGAGACTGCAACCCGAATGTGTGTGTGTGCAATAAGGAGAACACACAAAATGTGCAATTTGGGGCTATATATTCAATTAATTGACCCTTACGCCAATTAAAAATGTATAAATGTAATTGAATTATGTAAAACAGACTTCTCAAACTCTAACTCCACAGTGGCAACAGTGAGAATTTATGACAAATGATGAGTTTATTCGCCTAAACCAAAACCAAGTGGAAGCCTTTGGCCAGTGGCATTTTACCAACAGCACAGTGGCAAGAATAATCATTCATTGTGCAGGGTAAAGTAAACTAACCCTTGAATTTCGTAACATGGATCCCCCCCTTTGGCAGCTCAAGCTCCACCAAATGTTACCTTCCCTACCCACAAGTCTGTTTCAGTTTATCAGTACTTCTGGGTTGTATTTATATCACATTACTGTCAGTGCAGTGAGACAAAATAGACTCAATAGACCAGTAAATTAGATTCCATGATTTTTAGGCAGTGTACAACTGAAATGTTGTATTACTATAATGAAAATGTGATTTTTCTCATTATGGTACTGAAAATATGAGGGTGAAGACATCGTTGACATTTAATTTGCTGTAAAGCTGCTTTGCAACAATTTGCATTGTGAAAAGCGGTATACGAATAAACTTGAATTGAATTATTAATAATCTAATAATTTCTAAAATAAATTACATCAAGTCTTTACTAGGTCCAAACACTGCACTTTAATGAGTCACGGGTGAAAATCAAAAGCAGCTTTAAACACCAACCAGATTTATGTGAAAAAAGCTCAGCTGAAATGAAGGGTATGGCAAGACTCTCCCTTTCATAGGTTCACTCTCCGTCAGTATCTGATGCTATGGGAACCTTATAGCAAAGTGCCATGCTATGAGAGACTGCCATTTAGCTAGCCTGTACCTTAGCACAGGCTGCTGTGAAACATGAAAATGACAACAGTTTAAACAGAAAAAAACCTGGGAGCCTGGAGTCAAATCCATATCCAAATTGTAAAATTTGTCAAAAGTGTACAGAGAGGACCTGACTGCCGCCACACAGATGTCCTCCAAAGAAGTTCCTTTAAGCAGTGCCTAAGAGGAAACTAACTAGTTCTTCTAGTAGAGTAGAGTCTAGTAGTCAAACTCCGAGAGGCAGAGTCAATCCACACTACTTGTAGTCCACAGTGAGGCCCTGTTAAAGCCTTCTAGGACCACAGATAGGTTCCAGGAAGGCACACTGACAGAACGGTAAGGTCTCAACCATCTCATCATATGCATAAAATGAGACACAAGTAAATGCACCCAGCCCAGTACACTTAAAAAGAAAGGTGCTTAAAAGGTTCTCTACAGCGATGCCATAGAAGAACCATTCAGTCAAAGGTTCTTTAAAGAACCATCTCTTTCTTACCTTTTTATAATCTGAAAAACCTTCACCACAATGAACCTTTTGTGAAGCAGAAAAGTTCTTCAGATGTTAAAGGTTCTTTATGGAACCATTTAGACAAAAAGGTTCTTCTATGGCATCGTGAAGCACCTTTATTTTTAAGTGTAAGAACTCCCTCACTGTACCAACTGGGCAGTGAACTGGGTGCACATGACAGCCTTCTAGTGGAGAGAGCCCTAGCACTCAATTAAGCATTAGAATTGTGCTCTGAGGGTGCAGCCTCCAGTCTCTGGGCCTCAGTCTGTGCCTCGAGAGAAAATCTGTTTCCAGATTGACTGCACCTGGGATGTGCACCGCCCTCAGCAACAGAAACTTGTTTAGTGCCCACATATGGCCCAAATGCACTCCCACCCGGCCGGTTTTTGCGGATGATATGTCATACTGTTCATCCTAAAAATGAATGCGACAGTTGAGAGTGTCTGGAAGAAACCAGATTAATGCAAGTTAGATTGCCAACATCTCCAGGCAATTTATGTGCTTGTCTTTGCAGACTGTAGGTTTGATGGCCTTTGTAGACTGCACCCTGCTGATCAGTTAGGTGCCTGACATAATCACTTTGCTGCATCAGATGCTGCCCAAAGAAACGCCTCGAGTTAGAAGCTGAGGTTGTTTCCATATGATGAGTGTCCAAATGAATCTGCGCATGACCCTTACTTTACAGTGAACAGACCAAGATATATTAACCCCCGAGTTTCAGTCCTTAATCTCAAATGTGTGAAGCACAAGTGAAGCAGCTGCCATAAGACCCTAGAGTCTGTGAAACAGACCCAAATTTACAGTTTGCTCTGTTCTGAAATGTGACAGACATGTGCAGGACAATAGACAACCGTGCCTGCATAGAGTGTGAGTCTGTACTGCTAGAAACACAGTCTGCTGCCTCGGCAGTAGAGCTTCCAGGAATTCATTTTCAGTCCCAGTCCTTGCAGATGATCAAGAAAAATGTCTTGATGCTGACATACCAATAGGGTTGGATTGGCCATTATTGAGCGCTATAAAGACATATAATGTCTGTTTCATTTATACTGGACGCCAGAGGGCGACCTTGCGCAGAAACTCCACATATGTATCACAGAAGTAATATGGACAAAAACATCCAGCTATGGCTATGACTGAATAAAAGGAGAGAAATGTTTTGAATAATGAAACAAAGAAAATAAACACTTGACTGTAACAATATAGTTTGTCTGTGTTTTTCAAGCCATCTCGGGTATTTTCATAATAATTAAGTATATTTATAACCCAATACTAATTGCCTTTTTTACAGTATAGAATATATTTTCTGCTTCATTATGTGATATGAAGCCACATCAGATCACAAAAGGATGTTATTTGACTGATGTTATGGAGTAAAACATGTCATAATGTTCTCTTTTGTTGGAAAACAGGTTTAGAAATGCTTCTCATTGCAAGTCATTTGCACATATAAAATCATTATGTGCTTCTTCGTGAAGCATATCTCCTTGAACGGAACCCTGAAATTAGCCCTGAAGTTTAACCACATCACACTTCCCTGCAATGAAAGTTAATCCACTAAATAGCGGTCACTGAAGTAAGAATTAGTCCAGAGAAATCTCTTCTTGCAGAAGAAAAATCTGAGGGGTGATGGCACGAGTGCTTCCTTGTATAGCTCTACTGACATGATTCCCCTCTGAGGAATGTCGTCAGTACCATCAGTCAATGAACTGATGTGTCTACTCCGGTTTCAGACCGTTGTACCACCCGTGGGTGTTACTTGACATCAGAAACTGATGCAGTGAACCTATGAAAAGGAACATCTTCATATGTGTGTTGACTAGGCTGTACCTGGTTGGAATGGAGTTGAGGTTTTGTATGAGTCAAAAGATACACCGTTAACTTATGACACTCCTGTAAAACCTGTGCGTGCAACACTATTAAATATGGTAAATACAGTAAAGATACATTCATTGAGTTTCAATGGCTTTTCTTTTTAGAATGGCTTATCTTATTGATTTCCATACTCAATATGTGCTTAGCTCCCCCTTTATAGTTTTAACTCCTGAACATTACTCACACAACCATCTGAGACTGTCTGGCCTCTCATTGGCCATCTCTTTAACCTGGCTTACACATAACACATTAACACATTTCTAATATTCAAATCCGTTAAAGGATTGTTAGGCTGCATTAATTAGGATAACCGGAACCGGGAACACTTTCCATAACATCCAATGTACTTACTACATCATTAGAAGAATGGCATCTACGCTAATATTAGTCTGTTTGTTTCTTATTCCGAGGTCACCGTAGCCACCAGATCCAGTCTGTATCCAGATCAGATGGTGGATCAGGACCTAGAGAGGACCTCTACAGCCCTGAATGTCAGCGGAGATCAGGACAACTAGATGAGCCCCAGAGACAGATCCCCAGTGAAGACCTTGTCTCCTAGACGGCCACCGGGACAAGACCACAGGAACCGCTGATCAGTTAGGTGCCTGACATAATCACTTTGCTGCATCAGATGCTGCCCAAAGAAACGCCTCGAGTTAGAAGCTGAGGTTGTTTCCATATGATGAGTGTCCAAATGAATCTGCGCATGACCCTTACTTTACAGTGAACAGACCAAGATATATTAACCCCCGAGTTTCAGTCCTTAATCTCAAATGTGTGAAGCACAAGTGAAGCAGCTGCCATAAGACCCTAGAGTCTGTGAAACAGACCCAAATTTACAGTTTGCTCTGTTCTGAAATGTGACAGACATGTGCAGGACAATAGACAACCGTGCCTGCATAGAGTGTGAGTCTGTACTGCTAGAAACACAGTCTGCTGCCTCGGCAGTAGAGCTTCCAGGAATTCATTTTCAGTCCCAGTCCTTGCAGATGATCAAGAAAAATGTCTTGATGCTGACATACCAATAGGGTTGGATTGGCCATTATTGAGCGCTATAAAGACATATAATGTCTGTTTCATTTATACTGGACGCCAGAGGGCGACCTTGCGCAGAAACTCCACATATGTATCACAGAAGTAATATGGACAAAAACATCCAGCTATGGCTATGACTGAATAAAAGGAGAGAAATGTTTTGAATAATGAAACAAAGAAAATAAACACTTGACTGTAACAATATAGTTTGTCTGTGTTTTTCAAGCCATCTCGGGTATTTTCATAATAATTAAGTATATTTATAACCCAATACTAATTGCCTTTTTTACAGTATAGAATATATTTTCTGCTTCATTATGTGATATGAAGCCACATCAGATCACAAAAGGATGTTATTTGACTGATGTTATGGAGTAAAACATGTCATAATGTTCTCTTTTGTTGGAAAACAGGTTTAGAAATGCTTCTCATTGCAAGTCATTTGCACATATAAAATCATTATGTGCTTCTTCGTGAAGCATATCTCCTTGAACGGAACCCTGAAATTAGCCCTGAAGTTTAACCACATCACACTTCCCTGCAATGAAAGTTAATCCACTAAATAGCGGTCACTGAAGTAAGAATTAGTCCAGAGAAATCTCTTCTTGCAGAAGAAAAATCTGAGGGGTGATGGCACGAGTGCTTCCTTGTATAGCTCTACTGACATGATTCCCCTCTGAGGAATGTCGTCAGTACCATCAGTCAATGAACTGATGTGTCTACTCCGGTTTCAGACCGTTGTACCACCCGTGGGTGTTACTTGACATCAGAAACTGATGCAGTGAACCTATGAAAAGGAACATCTTCATATGTGTGTTGACTAGGCTGTACCTGGTTGGAATGGAGTTGAGGTTTTGTATGAGTCAAAAGATACACCGTTAACTTATGACACTCCTGTAAAACCTGTGCGTGCAACACTATTAAATATGGTAAATACAGTAAAGATACATTCATTGAGTTTCAATGGCTTTTCTTTTTAGAATGGCTTATCTTATTGATTTCCATACTCAATATGTGCTTAGCTCCCCCTTTATAGTTTTAACTCCTGAACATTACTCACACAACCATCTGAGACTGTCTGGCCTCTCATTGGCCATCTCTTTAACCTGGCTTACACATAACACATTAACACATTTCTAATATTCAAATCCGTTAAAGGATTTTTAGGCTGCATTAATTAGGTTAACCGGAACCGGGAACACTTTCCATAACATCCAATGTACTTACTACATCATTAGAAGAATGGCATCTACGCTAATATTAGTCTGTTTCTTTCTTATTCCGAGGTCACCGTAGCCACCAAATCCAGTCTGTATCCAGATCAGATGGTGGATCAGGACCTAGAGAGGACCTCTACAGCCCTGAATGTCAGCGGAGATCAGGACAACTAGATGAGCCCCAGAGACAGATCCCCAGTGAAGACCTTGTCTCCTAGACGGCCACCGGGACAAGACCACAGGAACCTTTTGGTTCCTTGCCGCTGTCGCCTCTGGCTTGCTTAGTTGGGGACACTTAATTTCCAGCGATATCGTCGACTTGATTGCACAGATACTATTAAACTGTACTGAGCGAAAAAGTGAAAGTGATGTGACATGCGGCCAAGTATGGTGACCCATACTCGGAATTAGTGCTCTGCATTTACCCATCCAAAGTGCACACACACACCGTGAACACACACCCGGAGCAGTGGGCATCCATTTTTTGCTGCAGCGCCCGGGGAGCAGTTGGGGGTTCGGTGCCTTGCTCAAGGGCACCTCAGTCGTGGTATTGAAGGTGGAAGAGGGTGCTGTACATTCACTCCCCCAACCTACAATCCCTGCCGGTACGAGACCGACTCTCTAACCATTAGGCCACGACTTCAGTGAGTGTTTACTATTTACTAAACAAACAAAAAGGTTTATGACACATGAGGATGGCAGACATAAGCAGTGACTGTATGAGTCTATGCTGATTGGGAACACAGGGCAAGAATCACCTGGCACTGGAAATATGGCCACGCAGAGCTGAGCACAATTTGAAGGATAAGATTTACGTTTACAGCTTGGTTGTGGGCAGGACTGAGGCTGTGTGTTTTTGCGTTTGGGTAACCCTGTGAGGGACTCTTGGCAGCACAAGTATCTGCAGGAGACACGTCAGACTTGCACTTGGTTCTTCGCAGGTCCAGATGCATTTCAACTATGCTGTCACTTAGAGAGAGAACTGCACTCTCTGCTTTAGAAGGACTGACGGTATGAACCACCATGTAGAGCTGAAGCTTATTTTCCTTCTCTGGATTGTCTGGCTCAAGCCAGCAAAGGCTCCAACCTTTGAAACTCGGTCAGTGGTGTTCTTACTGAGAAGTTTGTCCAACAGTTGTGACACGTCTGGAAGACAGAAATAAACTGGAACGTTACAGGAAATTCAAAGCTATGGTCAGCAAAGATTCAGTCATCACAGGTCTGTATATATGTTCTTGGAAATCAGAATGAAAAACACATACACATGGAGGTGAGTGTATAACAGTAAAAGAGAGCGCACAGATGGGAAAGAAGATGGGTCCTCTGATGGCATGGTCGCTCTCACCTGCCCTAATTTCGGCCTTTACTTTTGTGGAACTGTTAGTGCTGGGAATCACAATAGGAATGTCAATGTCAATCTTTTGCACAAAAATGATAGGTAGTTGATAGGAAGGCTGACTGCAGACTTGCAGTTGGTGTCTCTGGAGAAGGGCATTGTGGGAACTGGAGTTGGCTAGGGTTTTTTCTCCAACCATGGAGGAGGATGCTTACCACAAACACAAAGACAAAGACAAAGGATGGCAAATGGGTGTGTTTTGATCATTTATTTTTGGATTGAGGTAGAGGGTTTCTGGTAGCATGCTACAAGACATGCTTACAGCCAGTTTGCTCTACCAAACTATTGAAATGTTAAGCAGCAAGCTTATTGCTGCAGATGAAACAGAGACAAATCAGCTTGTGCCATGTAATGATAAAGTGATATCCATCAGCGGCCATCTACAGTTTCATGACGGAACTAGATATTTCAGTCATGACAACTGTTAAAATAGTTTAGCATGGTAATGGATATGACAATGATAATGTATTTGATTTTGACAGACTCGCTGTGCTACGTTGCTGCTGTTGATTATTGGTGCTGTTGTTGCAGAGCAAGTACAGACTGTGCCGCCACACAAATAGCATACATTAAATTATCCCCAAACAAATCAGGAGACAAAGGACAAGAACAACACAAGCCAATAAATGCAGTATGTAAAACAGGCTGCTGCATCAATAGACATGCATACATCCCCAAATATGGGATAGCAGTAAACAGGACTGGACAGGACAATATAGCCCTCCAAAAACAGATTTACCAAGACATGAGAAGTATAAGTATGCTCCATAGGTACATTGATATTTTTTTTTCTTATGCATAATTGGGCTCAAATATCTTAAGGAGAAATGCAAATTTCCTTACCCAGCAAATTCATTTACACATGCTAGGTTTTTATTGGCTCTATTTGTACATGAATTCTATTTTGTCCTCACTACTTGATATAACTCATTAACTTTCATTGGTATCTTAAGATCAAGTTTTAATACTCTTTACGTGTTACTGCATGACAATACTTACTGAAAAGTGTTACTTGGATGCAAAGCATATATGCTTAGAATTGCTCACAAGACCCTATACAAATATGCACTGATTCACACTGCATGAACAATCCTGTTGCTTTCTCCTACTTGCTCATGCCAATGCCTATTTCACTTTTAACTTAAGAAAAGTTGCTGTTTTTCGCACTATGTTAGCTTTGCTTAATTATTCACTCCTTGCATCATACAACTTGTTAAATATCAATCATGATTTAAAACTTAAGTATGGTTGCTTCATTTAGGAAATTATAAATGCAGAACACACAACATTTCAGTCATTTGGAATAATGAAAGACTGTTCACTTATCGTAAGATGCTGAATTTCTGAGATGCTTGACTTAATTACTGCAAACACAGAACCAAACATTTAAATGATTAGCAGAAAGCTCAATGGCTGCAGATGCAATCGAGACCAATCAGCTTGTGCCATCTTGTAGCATTGCCACATAAGGGGAAGTTTATTTGTAGTATCAGTATGCATTGTCTATTGTATGTTAATTGCTTTCCCCTGTGTACCATTTTTCTCCATTATGTGTATCTGACCCTGCGTCCCATTGTTCATACTATCCATCCTAAATAGTATGTGAGATTAGAATAAGTGTGTCCCAAAGCACAGTATGTTGAAAAGAGTATGCCAAAGGTCCCTGGATGGTCTACTATTTCAGGAAGATTTTTGAAGTGTGGATCCGTGCACACTCTGATGGCTAATATTCAGAAGTACAGACAAAACTAAAAAAGCATTAAAAAACTGCAAGCATGGCAGATGTGCGTGACGGTTAAGAAGAGAGGTTTAGATAAAGAGGTTTGAGTTACTAATAATCAACATTTTGTCACGTGTTTGTTTCTGTTTAGTTTCTGTCTGCCCTTATTTGGTTCAGTTCCTGTTCTCATTTAGATAATCATCGTTCATTCAGATCACCTGTGTTGTATTAATAATCTCATTAGTTCCCTTTGTTTGGGTTTTGCTTATAAGTCTTCAGTTCTCCCTTAGTCTTCGTCCGTTCACGGTCATGTGGAGGAATTCATTGAGCTTTCCCATCAAGTGGGCTGGCCTGATGCCTCTCAATGTGCCTGTTTTCAGTTGGGACTGGATGAGAACACTATTCATTGTCGTTCTCCCGTATGTGACTTCTCTGAGTTAATAAATTTCATCCTATATTTAAACGGCACTGACTTTGAAGTAGAGGAGGTTGAAGAAGTTAAAAGACGTTCTCATCCAGCCCCTTCTGAAAACCCACTGGGACTCGCCAGCTCACCCCAAGTTGAGATCCTCCACATACCTGGCCATTGGTCCCGACCATACCTATCTTCCTGTGTTTCCCCGAACCAATCCAATCCTCAGCCCAGAACCCGTGGCCGCATCACTCTCAAGCCCTTCGGCCGCTCTATTCACCCCTAACCAAAAAAGGAGGACGAGGAGAAAGACAGTCCTCCACTCTCATCCTTTCCCCAGAGCCCGCTCCAGTGTCGGCTCCAGCCCCAGAGCCCGCTCCTCCAGAGCCGGGGAATTAAATTAATCTTTAATTCCCAGGATTCCTAGTTTTCCTAGTTTTAGGAGGGGGGGGGGCATATACCCGTGTCCGAGCCGACTAAGGCCACGGAGGATCCGCCATGGCCTCCTGAGTCCCCAGCTCCGCCATGGCAACCTGAACTGCCTGCTCTGCCACGGCCCCCTGAACTCCCTGATCCGCCCTGGAGGCTCTCCTTGTCTCCGCCCTGCTCCTGTCCTGCACCAGCCTCCAGGGTGCCCCCGTTACGGCGCGGGACGTGCCTTCCGGGAGGGGGGCGATATCTGTCACGTGTTTTTTTTTTTTTCTGTTTAGTGGTTCAGTTCCTGTTCTCATTTAGTTAATCCTCGTTCATTCAGATCACGTGTGTTGTATTAATCATCTCATTAGTTCCCTTTGTTTGGGTTGTGCTTTAGTCCTCAGTTCTCCCTTAGTCTTTGTCCGTTCACCGTCATGTTTAGTTTGCTCATAGATGTTTTTGATTTTGTTTCTGTCTCCTGGTTATTCTGTTGATTTGAAGTTGGAATTAAAGATTGTGTTCTGGATTACTCCTGCGTCGTGCGCTTGTCTCCTGAGAGCACAGTACCTGTGACCCATTTAACCTGTTAATTTATTTTTATTTAATGTTATCTGTGTTAGGATATTTCATTTACAACAACAATGTGAACTTGTATAAACATCCGTTTGGCCATTAACTTTATTATGCAAAAAATATGAGCAGAATTCTCTGCATAAAGCCCCGCAGATGGCAGATCAACGTGTTACTTCATTTCTCTCTGATATGGTAGGAAGTTAAATTGAATGATATGTAGAGGATGTGAAAATTTTAAAAAGCATAACAACTGAAAGTCTGAAAAATCAGTCAGTAAAGCTTTTTTTTTTTTACAATTTGAACTAAAATGTTATTGCAGCTATATAGCCTATGAATGAATGAAAATGCATATTTTTTATTAATGAGAACTTAAGAGTGTGGGCTGCTTTTGCTGCTTGAATTTGTGCTTCAATAATGAGATACACCAGAAGTAAAAGACGTCTAAGGTAGACTGCATATTTTCTTGTCTTGCTGGATGTTTGGCTCATGATCAGTAATCATGTTGTTTGCATTTGAGCGGCTACATTCTCAAATAAAGCAATGCTTTGTCCAAAAAGAATGATTAATTATCAATTGAGTTAATGTTAGGTAAATTAACATTAAATTTAGATTGTGTAGTAAGCTAGCTAACGTTATCTTGTTACACTATCATTGACTCAAAAATGCTTTGAGCTGATTTAAATTTTTAAACTTTTTTTTACATTTAAAAAATGTTTAAATATACAAGTAATCAGCACCTTACATTATTATGGCCTAACTGTTACACTTGCTCTACCCATGTTAGGGTCCTAAAACTACAATCAAGTCCAAAGCTCAGTGTGGGAAATGGTAGTAAAATGTAATTTATTATTTTAATATATTATTTATTAAATCTCATTTAGATGTGCTGTGTTCATTGTCATATCGGACACAAAAATGGTGGCGAGCATAGTGGAAGTGATGTCTTCGGTACCCAGGAATATAATGAGCAGTTTGGGAGCCCGTACTCTCTGTCCCTAATATATCAGCCGTTTTGCTGTTTTGTATCCCCGCTGATTGTTTATGGATGGTTGAACTTTTTGCCGGCCCTTGGTGGAGTATAATGTTGTTTTTTTCCTGCTTGGATTACTCGCCCCAGAGGACTTTAAACAGCTGTAATTACTTCAAAGATACAGGTGCATCTCAATAAATTAGAATGTCGTGGAAAAGTTCATTTATTTCAGTAATTCAACTCAAATTGTGAAACTCGTGTATTAAATAAACAGGTGCATATGGGCCCGGGCAGTTTGGGGGCAACGAGGGAACAAATAGAGCCCTGCATGGGCCCGGCCTTTGTCCAACAACTTTATGAGAATTCTCGGCCCAAGTCCAACTGGATCCCGTGTCTCTTTTCTCGCTCTCTCTTCCCCATTACAAAACTATTAAAATAGTTCAGTTTTGGTTTTTAATGGCAAAGTGGTCATATTTCTTTTTGTTTCTTTATTAAGTT